GTTTTGCCTCTAGTAAATGCGTCAAGATATTCGTTAAGTGAGAAGAGAAAAGTTTCAATTCCCCATCCACACATGGTCCACTTATACAACAAATATATGGGCGGAACTGATCGTATGCATCAGAATGTAGCATCAAACAGGATAAATATCCGCTTAAAAATGGCTGTGGCCTGTATTTTTGTGATATATTGATGTAACAGTACAAAATGCATGTTTCTGCAACAGGAAATCTTCACGATTCTCTGGTCAAGAGAAATTGGACTTACTAGAATTTTGGCATAGGACTGCACTAAATTTGTTGTAATCTAATGGAACGCCCAAAACTTAACAAAAACAAGAACTTACAAACACAACATCTAACAGAGTAGCAAGTGAAATCAGATTTGATAATAGTGAAACTTCCCTAAAACACAGTGCAAAAGAACTCGCTGCACCCATTGCAAGTCAACAACAATATACAGATGTGGTAAATGCAAAGTTGCTCTGCACAGTGTTTGGGTCTTCCAGTGTTTGGCTACGAAGAAATAAATCTAATGGAAGTTGTTACAGATAAAATAGTTACTGCACAAATCGTATGGATCATTCACATTTGTTCATTCATTGGTTTACATTGACTTTCAACGTAAAAACAAAATCAACTGTGGAATATCAATTTTCAAGAAAATCGGCTGAATGGTTGATCAGAGACGGATTTTTTGGCCGGATTGTTTGGCCGTCAATCGATTTTTCAGTATCAAGAACCAACAAAACATAGACTCTGGATACACCGCGTGTTAGAATTTTTTCTCTACAACCATTTGATACTATTCGTATTCGTGTTATATATTTAATCGACGAATGGCATTGATTACACACCCCGTGGATTCCAGTTCGGAATCCACGGCCTATCGACCAATCACATTCCTAGAATTTTCGGAATCCACGGACAGAATTCTTTCTCTTTCCAATTTGCAATACCGTTTTAAATAACAATCGCAGTGCGCGCCTGGACCAAAAAAGCACAGGGGAATAAGTGGGACAAAGCGGGGAAAGGAGGACGAAGAGAGCAAAAGGACAAATTGGGACAATGGAACAAAATGGGGAAATGGAACAAATTATACAATTAGAAAAAATAGGACAACCTGACAAATGGGAAAATGGGCAAGGGGACAAACTGGGACAAGTGGACAAAATTGGTCAAGATGGGGCAAATGAGACAGGGGGACAAAATGGAACAAGTGAGCAACATGCGACATTTGGACAAAATGCAACAAAGGGATAAAATGGGACAAGATGGATGTCGGGACAAAACGGGACAAGATGACAAAATGAGCCAAGGGGACAAGCGGAAAAGGGGGACAAATGGAACTTAGGGAAATGGACGAAATGGGATAAAAAGAAGGGCCAAGTGGGACCAAATGGACATAATTATCCAAAGATTTATGAGCAGTGGTAAAATCTAAACCCGAGAGTCCGATAAAATATTTTTAATGGACTCGAGCATTTTAAGAACCATTGCTACGGACGTTGTTATGGACTTAGAGCGTTGGATTATTAGTTGCTAACGAGGTACGCATATGTTTGCCGACGTAAATAACAAAAAATCTGTTCAAAATCTATTCTGAAAATTTCAAGATCGTAGAGAAAGAATTGTCTTCTACTCGAGAATAATGGCTATTATTATGCGCTCGTTGAAGAATATACTATTCTACAAATTAGGTACTGGATTTTTCCACTCTTTCGTTATCAGAGCCCGGCAATAGAAGTTTTTCTAGCGAAAATTTGCCGTTTTCCGACACACGATTTTTCGTGGTAATATTTGGTAACTTTTCTTCTTACGAAGAATTTCGTGAGACGAGAAACTAAAAATTGTCATAATTCTCGAAAAAATATAGCAATAATTGCTAAACAATTTGTTTTCATTTATTTTTTATTTTATTGTTCACTTGTATTCATCCATCATTCTACCATCACAATGAATGTCCTACGTCCTACAATGAAGCCTAATGTGTCCTACTTTGAAAATAAAATATTAAGTTGGTTTTTATAAGTCTGTACAATCGATTTCTAAACGCCCGGATATGATTTTATGAACACAATAACATAACATTAATTTATCAACCCAACAAAAAAAATTGCGTTTTACTACAAACTTCAACTTTTGGCCACTGCAGTAAGCGCTAGTATCGCTGTTTGGATTTGAATTGTGATGGTCAAATGATGTATTTTATTGGATTTGAATTGTGATGAAGAAAATGTATTTTAACCAATTTTTTTGCGAATGGCAAAACCACTACATGTGCAGTTTTAATTCAACTATTTAAATTATTTGAACCAATATTTGCAAACAATTGGCAAGTTACAAATTGTTGTATTATATTATACACATTACTCTTATAATAATAATAATAATAATAGATATTACATAATTATTATTATAAGAAAATAAATGCTGATATTAAAAATGATATTTTTAAATAACCTAAAATTAGCTCAATACACATATCAATCCAAGATAATTTTACTTTTAGGTGGATGAAGCTTCGTTTTGCACTGTTTTTTATTGAATTTGAAACTAATTTTTTCATATTTGAAATGTAAGTCCATTATGTTTTAAACTATATTATTAGGTCGTTGCAAATGAAATGGTCGATATTTATATTCATGTATAATCCGTGAATTTCATTTGTAACGATCTAATATAACAAAATAATTATTTTCTGTATAAATGTTGATATACATTCAATTTTATTTTATATATTAAAGATGTAAAAATGGATACATCAAACAAGAAAAGGAAATGGCATTTAATGACAACTGGTTACAAGAATATACGTGGCATAAAAAAGTAAATGATTCTCAAGGCCTGTGCAAATACTGTTTAAATACATTTTCTATTAAATTGAAAGGTGTCTGCCATCAAGCAGCATGAAAATAGTGAACATCATCGCTTGAAGATGAAAGCATCTGCTAGTTCCCAATTGATGGAAAAATTCGTCATTAAAAGGGATACTCCTGAAGAATTACAAGTTATTGTAATTGAACTAGCTCACATATATCATGCAGTAAAACATAACCAATCGTTCATATATCATGCATTAAAACATAGCCACAACATTCGTTAGATTGTTTGATGAAACTTGTTCCTAAAGTATTGCCAAAAGATAATAACTCTTGCAAAATTTCTTGTGGAAGGACAAAAGCTCAGGCAATTGTTGAAAACGTGTTAGGACCAAAAATATTAGAAGACGTGATTACCGAAATAAAAACGAACTGTTCGTACTTTTCTATTATGACTGATGCATCTAACAAGAAAAATTGGAAATTTTCCCGATTAGTTAGATAGATTAGATCAACACTGTTAGATTTATTACTAATTCTGCAATTAAGTGAGAGAACTTGGTGGCACAGTATTAGTGGTATAGTATTTTTCACGAAACGATGGTTTTCAGCAAAATATTATCGTTTTTTACGAAAATTGCCATGAATGCAGATGGCATGTTTTCTTGCATCAATGATTGTTTTAAAGATTTAAATTTAGATTTTCAAAAGTTACAGCTCTAAGCGCTGACAGAACAAACGCCAATTTTGGTCGCATTCATTTGCTCTTCGTCAATTTACAAAAAGTAAATCCGAATATTGTAAAAGCTAATTGTCACACGCACATATTGCACAATGCGTTGAGATACGCTTTGGAAGATTTGTCTGTAGACATTGAGAAACTTGTTTTAAAAATCAACGGACATTTTAGATTGTCATCGGTACGTCGAAGTGAATTTCAAAGCTTTTGTGAATTTTTAAATGTTGCATTTACTGATTTTTCACGCCATGTTGTAACTCGATGGTTATCGTTACAACCTTGTGTAGAAAGATTGTTATGAGAATGGCCGGCATTAGTTTCATATTTTCACAGTAATGTTAAGAACTTGTCTGTAGCTTTAAAAAACGCTTTGCATTTTAAAAACGAAGAAATTCCTGCGATAGTTGAGATGAATCTATCGTTTGCCAATCACTTGCTTGCAGTTTATATATATATATATATATATATATATATATATATATATATATATATATATATATACATATATCCTATTGTACTACATTGAGCATTTTAATATGTGGCAACCCTGTACATAAGTCACGAAGACACTGTTTATTAATTTCATAAATGTACTCCCTAGTGTCCAGTGTTGCGTTTTCACATCTCATATCTAGAAGATGATTATCATTTTCCGCAAACAAAAAAAATCCTGTCATACCTCAAGTATAAGTAAATCTAGCAATAAGAAAAAAATAGGAAGAATATAGTTCTGGGATTAAATAGGTTAAAAAACTTCTAAGGATAGAATCGGAAACGCTAAAAGAATAGCAGATGTGTAATTTTCGTTGAACTCTGAAGGTTCGGAAATTGCAGAAGTTAGAAATAATGTGAGGAGGTGGGTGTTGTTGTACCACCGCTACTTTTAATATAATATTTGGTAAATAAATATTGAAAACATTTCCTTTTAGTCAAAAGTGAGATGCCTGAAGCTAAAATGCCAAAGGACAAGAACCAACCATATATCATCAAACAGTAGAGGTGAAATCAACATCTCCTGCAAATTGGGTGCAAGTGTGAGAAGTGTATTTTATATACCAATACATTATTTCGTTATACCTACTATATTGCGTGTAAAACCTGATCAGAATGTTCGACAAAGGAGCGTTTTGCATAATTGATACGCCAGTGTAATATGTTAGATAGTCTGCAGTAAGTTGGCATTCATTTTCATTTCATCTTAAACATCATCCTTCGTTTACAAAAGAAGGGAATGGGCGGATTCTCTATATTTTAAAATACCGAAATTTCATGTATTGATTGTTTAAACGTTATGTGGCAATATTATATCGATACTGTTTACAGTATTAATTTTGGCGCATTCATCTCGTTTTGACAGTTTTATACAACGTTAAATGATTGGCAGGATGGGTCACGTGATTTCAGACAACAATGCTAAACTTCAAACAAATCAGTAGTGCCCGAGTAACTGAAACGTAAGTTGGTTGTAAAGTAGAAGTGTTCGTGGTTTGGTAGATACAACTTGAAAATGGACAACATATTTGTTTACGGTACCTTGAAAAGGAACGAGCCGAATCATAATTGGTTGGAAGACGAGGATTTCGGTTATTCTCAGTATATCTGTAATGCCAGAACTGTAGAAAAGTATCCGCTCGTTATTGCTACGCGGTATAACCTCCCGTTCTTATTGGATGTGCCGGGTGAGGGCCATGTAAGAATCGTTTCCAAAGGACAAAGAATTTGTGTTGATCCTTCATTACGTATGGTCGATTTTATTAATAAATGTTTCTTCATTTCTAGCACGTATCGGGCGAGGTGTATGAGATTGATTATCCCATGCTGCAGCACCTCGATGTACTCCAACAATATCCCGACTTCTACTATCGGGATATGATAGAAGTCCTCTGTGGAAGTAAAAAGGTGTCGGCTTTCGTGTACGTACTCAGGGAATTTCGACCATTTTTAATGGAAGAGCCGTTTCTGGAAGAGTATTCTTCCAATGGAGATCATGGAAAACGATACGTTGAGAGAGCCGAAAGAGATCATACATATGATTTTACAAAAGAAGTTCAATTTTAAAATAGAGCCACCTAAACAATCCGTCCAGGTTAACAATTATTTCGGCGTGGCCACAGGTGAATCAAGATGTGCGCGTTTAATTTTATAATATACTATAACTTCATGTAGCAAAAGGAAAATTTAAGAAGTGAAGTATTGTCTCATCACACAACTTTGAAGGACTATCTCTTCATCTTTAAGAATGCTGAATGAATAAAATAGGTTGTAGCTTACCTACTTTCCTTATTAGTGATAAGCAAATTACGTGTAAGTAAGATTGCATTGACCAATTGTAATACATGTTAATAAATAAATATATTTCATTGAGTTTAAGAATCTTTACTATAAATATGCCCCACCCACAAACCATCATGTGTATTTTAATCAAATCACTGTAAATTACTGAAACACTTTATTCTTATTGTTCAAATAATTAGTGGTATAATGATAGTGATTATGATGAATGTCATACTCATCACTAGGGTTGGTGTGATTTAAATTAAATATTTTTTTATTAAAGATTTAAATCAATACTTATTATTTGTAATATTTTAAAATATATTTATATTCTAAATATCATGATTTTCTACATTATATTTAAATATTTGAAAAATAAAAATTACTCAGATAAAAGGATTTGAATCAATTTCAAAGTTGATGTGAAGTACAAATTATATTTCTTATTAACTTTTTAACTAATTGATTTATTTTCAGAAAATAAAATACATTATAATGTACAATAAAATGATCAAACTTATGAAATGAACAAAAAACAATTTGTAATAGAGTTTATTCTAATAGGCTTAAATTATCCATCAGTTTTTAACCAGCATTTCATTGTCTGAAGATAAAAACTAATTTAGCATCAATACAACACAGAGCTAGTATTGAAAAACACATGTTTAAAGCTTGAACAGTGTCCACAATTCTAGATTTTTATTAAAATGTCTGCTAATGCCACTTAAAGTACATCTTAAAGATGATGAAAATTAATAAAAATAGAATTTTATTAATACTCATTTAAAAAACAAATTTAATATTGTTAAAATTAATGAAAACAGTAGTTAATTTTACTAGTTTAATAATATTAACGTTTTTCTTTATGTGTATATTTATAAAATTCCACTTTAAGTGGGAAACATTCTTCTCACTGTTCGTTAAAAGGGGGTGGAAAAGTGCTCAAAAAGTAACAATCATTATACCCCATATTTTTTTTATAACATGACAACTATTAGGTAGAATTTAATATTTCAAAAACTGCCTAACATTATTATAATTTTTTCGATGAATTCCATTGTTTTCTACTTTAAGCTCTTTTTTATTAGGGTGGTATTGCACAAAAAAGATGGTAAAATTTCTTTGAACAAAGAATTTCTGTTTTTCTAAATCATGCTATTAGATGGTGCCACAAGCTTATTTGGTCATGTGGACACGATAGAAGTGTTTCAAGAGCACGAAACTATACGTAAATCAACTTTAAAGATTTTGTGATTACTCTCAGTAAATTCAATTGATAGAATGTACTTCAAGCATTTGCTGTAATTTTCATTCACATTCTAATTGTTTTCTTTGATGCATTAGAATTAAGGTTTTGGTGTGGTTCCCTCCAGTGCTCCTGTTGTCAATCCAATTATATTTCAATACTTGTGTATTTTCTCAGCAGTTGTAATAATTGTTTACTCTGTGTAGTAAGTAGTTATAACAAGTTATTTCTTTCAGCTGCATGAAAATGACTTGAAAGAAACAAGAGGAAATTTTGTAGCAAGAAGCAGTAGAGTGGCAGTCGAGGTGTATCTATTACTATGAATACCTATTAAATGTAAATTAGTTTATGGTCATTGACTGGTTTAATACCTACTGAAAGTATCCCAACTGGTTATTAAAGTAATTTAGGAATGTTGCACACTCCAGAAAGGTTTTTGCAAGATACAATTGTGAGATCATGCAGAGTTATAAATAACATAGGTTATATGGCTTCATTATTTGTATTAAAAGGCCAATCATTTCTGTTCAAGTCTGTATCTATTTCCATCTTTATAGCAAAAGAATTACCAACTAAATTAAAATCTCAAAAGAATAAAAAAAACAGTGAGACATTAATTTCATTTTCTAGAGTTATTAGCCTGAATTTGAGATACAAGCATTAGCTTCGTTATTTGCATTTGTATTTTCGATTTTTCTTGGAACAAATGCTGGATTGTGAGGGGAACTATTCTGAATATTTGATACTACCACAATATCGCAACATAGAACTGAAGTAAATATACTTCTTAATATGACTCTTACATTTTCTCACAGCACTGACTAGTTAAAAGTGTTTCATCTATCTTATTTCCTTTCTTTAAACAAAATGGTTAGAACATTTTTTGGTGAAATTTCTGATACAAAATCATAGAAGAATTTACATACTATTACACGTATCTCTAGATTAATGATAGATTGGTACAAAATTGTCTTGTGAACACTAATACAAAAAGAAAAAAAATTTAATAGCTCTTACAAAAATAATTTATCACATGCAATATTATTTTTCATTGTTAAGTTGTTATTCCCACATGCCTGGAGTTTTGTTAGCATAAGATTTAAGTGGAAATACAATTCACTGTTGTTAGTTGGAAAGGATAATTTTTTATTTGCGCAAATCAGAGAAAGACATGCAACAGCAATGTACTAACATATTTAGTTTTTCATTATTTGTTCAGTAAAATGTAAGTTTATTTGTCACCATATGCTACAACTCTTTGAAAGTAGCTTATCAGTTATCACATTTCATTTCACTTATCATTTCAATGTTTTAAAAATATTCTGGCTGTCCTAGAAGGCCGAGGTGGCTAAGAGCAAGTACCAACTCAGCGCTTTTTGTCTGAAGGGTCGTGGGTATATGTCAGCATTCAGCATGGATGTTTGTCTCTTGTCTTCTGTCTCTTGTGGTATGTATTGTCACGCAGGGCCTCACTTTCTTCTGACCTCAGATCAGAGGAGCCTGCAAGCGTGCTGGTGTTTAGTATATGGTCAAATAAAAGCCCTAGTTAAAAAAATATTATTCTAAATTTACAATATTTCACCCAATTTATTCATTGTTCAAGTTTAAGGAAGATTGCAGAGACATAAGAAGGGAAGTGAAATGAAATCAAATGGCTAGACAATTTTCTTGAACATTCAATAACTCCTCAAGAAATAATTGAGCCAGATAAGTTATAAGATGTTAGAAGGCCCTTATGTGTGTTTTGATCCTCACATACTTGAAAAGAGAAACAAATGATGAATAGGTATATACACTAACGTGAAGTGAACTAAGGTTAGAAACATGCAACAACATTATATTCTTCCTTGCATTATTTGTATCGTATTTTATGTCATAATAACGCAATTTTTACCACTCAATTCTGTGTCATTCAAGAATAACCTTTGAGTTAATTCCTACTTAACTTAATGCAGTTTATTAACTTTTAGGCTTTAGTTTGGATTTTAGTCTATCGATTGTCTTAGTCAATCTTGTCATCTATGATTTGTCTCTAATGATTTGATATTCATCTGCTTGTGAATTTGTCATTCTGAAATCTTGTGAAGTGAATCATTATGAAAAAATCTCTTTTGCAAGTGTATGAGTCATAGGTAATGTATATTTGATCCTATGTTATTATTTTTATCTTTTTTGGTGTACTCTTAATTACAAGTAGTAATGTTAAAAAAGCGTTTTTAATTATTTGAGTTAGTCACAAATACTGGTAGATGTGGCCAGCATACACAAGCTGTCATCTCAAAGAGAATCATTGAAAGAAATAAAATAAATTAAAGTATAATTTGAAAATCAGAGCAAAAATCCTTATTCACAAGGTTGGATTGGTTGTAATCCTCAGATTACACATTTCAACAGCAATCTGATTTTGACACATGGATTATACCTCTAATATTAATTCCGGAATACCTCAAATTTTTAGTTCTGAAATTCGTTTAAAACAAAAAGAAACCCTGTATTTGTTCCTGAGAGCAGACATTTATTATTTATATTAATGAGTTAGATGATGTTTATGAGGAGTGTGATGAATTAGATTGACTGTTTGGGAAGACATCGGTTTTACAAATAAGTTCTTGAGGAACACGTAGTACTGTAGATATCTCCCTTCAATCAATTTCTTTTTAGTGTCATAAATTCAAATTTGGAAGAGAAAATGTTATTTAAAACCATATTCTTGATTCAATCATAAATACAGTAGAAACTGGCTAATAAACAAAATAAATAAAATGCTTATTAGTAGGGAGAGCAAGGATTTTATAAATTCTGTAGAACTGAACAACTAATAATTGAAACATAAGTTGTTGAAATTAAACGGTTATTACATTGGTGTAATCACATGTTTATGTAGCAGTAATTTTCACTCCGAGGAACTTGCAAAATCGGCAATCTTCTTTTGTCGAGCCATCTAAAGCCATCAGCGCCCAAAAACCAATTTCAACGAAGCTACATCCAACATTTTAGGCTAATTTGAGGCTAATTAAATGCTCTATTACCGGTTTTAAGGCTCTCTTGGATTTCCCAAAATAGTGGGCGCTGATTTTTGGAATAAAAAAAAAAAGCATACACGCGGCTCGCCCAGCATAAAAAACAAACTACTACTATGAACACAATGTTACCGGGTGAATGTCCAGTCCACCAGTCACTTGTATTTTGGCGAGACGGGCAGGTAAGCGAGCAATCCCTTTTGCCCTGACTCGCCAGCGAGGGCGCGGCCGGCAGAGGCGGGGGAGCGGCCTTCAGCGACTGGCTGGCTGGGACGGCAGTTGGGTACACCAGGCATTGGCGAACGGCATTCACGCAATCACCCTTGCGCCACGCGACCCGATGGTACTACCTGATGGTAATACGGAGTACGGCACATAAATGGTCGCGTAATACCACTCCGTCATTTGAAAGTAACAAGGATGATAACGTGCAAGTCTTGCACTCCTCAACTGCAGCAGATGCGCGCTCCCTCGAGAGCCTAAGTGGCAGTTTGAATGTTACTCGGCCAAAATTTTCA